TGCATTGCTGGGGTCCCCCATCATGGCACTGCTCCAGCCCACCCCAGCAGAGCCCAGCCAGCACTGGCATGGCCCACCTGCACCCCCAGGAACCCCAAGGCTGGGGCAGCTCTGGGCTCTTCTGCAGGGGCCGAGGGAGCCCCACGTCGCTCAGCCGCACCCCCTGGGGAAGGCAGGCCTGGAAGGTGGAGACTTTGTGCCCAGGCTCCTTGGCCTGTGCATCAGCCCCCCGTGCGCCCTCCCAAATGCCCGCCAGCTGCTGACCCCGGGGGTGATAGGGGAGGCTGGACCGTGAGCCCGGGGCACCGGCCGCGCTCGGGTGGGGGCTGCATGCGGGTAACTCAACGCACCATGCGTGAAGCGCCCAAAGCGCCGCGAGTGCCCAGTTTTCTGCAAAGGAAGAGAGAGGAGAGCATGATCCGGGGCTGGGCAGCACAGACAGCAAGAGTGGGGGGCCCGGGGACCCCAGCCCCAACCGGAGCCTGGCCCAGCGCAGAGACGGCGCAGGCATGGGGAGCACCCGTGGGGCACAGCAAGCCGGCAGCGGGGGCAGGGGGTGTGCCGGGGTTTGTAGGGCATGGGCAGCCAGTGAGAGGACAACCAGGATGGCCCGAGTCAGGCGGGCCCTTTGCGGGCGTTCTCCAGGATCCCCTCGGTGCGGACTGGAGCGTGTGGACACACGGCAGCAGGACTCAGCCAGGCCACGGGGCCCCAGGCCACGCAGCTGCCCGGCCCAGGCAGGGGAACCCCCAAGACTGCACTCGGCTGCTGCATGCCTGCCACTGGGCACACGTAGGCACCTCTGATACACACGCGTGCACCCCTGTACACATGTGGACACCCCTGCCACATACACACACACATGCATCCCTGCACACGCAATGACATCATAGACATGCGCACACATGCGTGCAACCCTGAACACATGTGGACGTCCGGGACCCAAATGCACACACATGTGCCCCTGCACTCACATGGGCACCTGGGATGCACACGCACACACATGCACGGAAACCTGCAGCACATGCAGCCACCGCCCTGCGCACCCCCGAGACACGCAGGCCTGGGTCACACTCCCAAGACCCTGTGTGCACAGACTCCCCCAGTGGGCCTGTTCCCAGCCCCCGGCTCAGCGCTCCAGGGACCCTCCCTCTCCCACTGCCCATGGGCAGACACGTGGCCAGGAGACACCCAGCCCTGCCCCACGTGGCCACAGGACCCCCCGGCCCTGCCCCGCACAGCGACCTGGCAGGGTTTGCCAAACAGAGCAGCCAAGGGAGTGAGGGGAGAAGCTCCAGGCCTGGGGAAGGGGCAGCGGGGACCCTGCTCAGGCCTCCCTGTGCCCCCGAGCCCCAGCAAGTCTCATGCCCAGCAGCCATGGCCTGGCGCAGCCTGGCTCCTGGTGTCCAGGGCCAGACATGGGTGGTGCCTACGGCTGCTGCAGCTCCACTGGCCCTCCGCAGCCCCTGTGCCACGGGGGCCAGGCGGACACATGGCCCCATGCGGGGGCTGCTCTGGGCAGGAAGGGCCTGGGCTCAGTCTGGGCCAAAGCTCACCCCTGGCACCCGGGACCTTTGACACAGATGCCTGGGAGAAGATGCAAGGGGAAAAGTGTCACATGCATGCACACATGAACACACACACATGGGCATGCACACGTGCACACACACACACACACACAATCATAAGCTCATGTGCACGCAAACACAAGCACACACACACCAACCCACACAAGCCTGCAGGCCTACGCCCAAGCACATATGCCACAATCCCGCACACACATACCACCCCCCCCCACGCACAAGCACACGTGCAACACATGCGTGCCCACGCACTGGCGTGCAGCACGGAGGCACGAGGGCTGCGCTGCCCGAGCCCAATCTGTATTCAGGCAGAGCTGGCTCCCTCCCTGCCTCTGGCGCTGGGCTGGGCTGGTGCCCAGGGCCAGGAGAAGATATATGAGCAGATTAGCTCGCCTGTCGATGGATCATTCCCCCATTAACGAATGAAAACGCAATCGAGGGCCATTAACGGGTGTGCTCTGGCTTCCCCATGCGAGGCATTGCCAGGTCCCAGCCAGCCTGGGAACAGCGCCTGGCAGGCCCAAACCCGGGGCTACCGGGGCACCGGAGCTGCCAGAGACGCTCGGGATGCGGCTCCGACAACGCGGGGAGCAGGGGCCGCAGCCCAGGGGCCGCGGTGGGGAAAGGATCCTGCAGCAGGAAGCAGAGGCCCAGGGGGGCCACGATGCACCTGCTGCGGGTGCGAGGGGCACGGGGCCGGGGTCTGCAGAGGGCTGGAGCAGGGGCAGGGGCAGGTGCAGGGGCCGGGGGAGAAGGCCCCCCCGGCCGCGCTCCCGGAGTGCTCCAGGCCCTGCTGGGGCCAGGCTCCAGGGTCACAGCCTCTCGCCCCAGTGAGGGACCTGGACCCTACTCTCGGCCCCACGGGGCCAGGGTCCGGCAGGGCTGGCACAGCCCTCCGCTAGCTTGCCTCAGTTTCCCCTCTCCCACGCTCCTGCCCCGGGGGCGTGCGGGGTCCAGCTCAGAGCCGCCTGGTGCGGGGACCCCGGTGAGGACAAGCGCCCGCAGGGAGGTCACCCCTGGGTCCTGCCGGGGGGCATCAAAGACCCCTG